CCCTCCCCTCTTGCTCCTGATGCAATGTGGTCTGACCAGGAGAGCCCACCTCCAGCCCACGTGATTGGTTTGGGGCTGAGCATGTGACCTGATGACCAGGCCCAGGACTTTTGCCGTGGTCACTGGGAAGGAGGGGCATTCTGGGGAGAGTGCTGAGCTGGGGGATGTGTGTCTGGCATGGTCTCGGCCCTCAAGTGGAGAGAGCCGACCAGAGAGTGAAGTCAACTGAGAACAGTGCAGATGACTGCTATCGGGGTGTACACCTGAAACTTATGTACTTTTATTAAGCAATGTCACCCCAATAAATTCAACAAAACATGGTGAACCAAGACAAAGTCCTGGTGACAGCATCTGAACACCTGGATCCAACCACCCCTGAACCCAGTGTACCTGTGGGCTTCCTAGTACGTGAGCCAGTGAATCAGTTTTGCTTAAGCTAGTTTGAGCTGGGCCGCTTGCATCCAAAATGCCTTGACTAACACACCAGCTATTTCTATGTTTAAAACAGCGTGGCAAACGCACAGAGCAGGCGCTGCCTCTCCCCCAGCAAGGCCCCGGCTACTAGAGGAAAGCAACGCCCACCCACCTCCCTGGGTAGGGCCCTTGGTGGACGTGGGCCTGGGCCCACTTACCAGCCTCATGGCTACTTTGCACTGCTGGGCATTGCAGGCCCTTCCGGGTGCTGGGCTGCCGCTTGCCGAGACATTGTGATTGTCTGCAAACAGGTCGAGGACCACAGGGTGGTGGGGGTTCCGCTCGTCAATAAGGACCAGGGGCGTGTGGTTCCAGAGGGTGAAGTTCAGGGTCCTGGTGGCGTTGGAAAGGGGTTGCTCGGGAGCCACGATCCTCTCCAGGACGGCTTCCATCAGTTGATCCAGGTCCTTCAGCAAATGCTTGACTTTAGAATACCTGGGTGGGGAGAGGACTGGTCAGGGGGGCGGGGCAGCAGGAACAGCCACTGTAGCCCGGGACCCCCTCGTGCTCCAGCACAGCTGCCACCGTGTGCGAGAATGCCTTGCCCAAGCACGCACTTCTCCACCCACCCGCCCATGCGTGTGCCCACTCACTCCTGTATGCGTGCACCGAGTATTTAGTGAGCACCTACTATGCGCCAGGCACTGTGAAGGTGCAGAGGACAACGCAGAACTGAGGCTGTGGGAGTTGCTGTGACTCCCCCAGCTCACCCACTGATGAGGGCAGAGCTGAGCCTGGGCCCTGGGTGTGTGGGCTGCAGCGGGCATGCTGTTTGTACACGGGGGTGGGGCGTCTGCTGTCCCCCTCCCAGGAGGGGAAGGGGCAGAGGGGCAGGTCTGTGACCCCGAGGTCCCCCTTTCCCGGCAGTGATTTGGGGAACAGGAGCCAGTGTCAGGAGGGAGAAGGTGGATGGGATGTGGGCTGGGCTCCAGTACTTGGTCTCAGCCCCTGGAGGCTCCCACATTGGAACCGTGAGCAGTTCGTGTGGTAGAAATGTGTCCATACCAGGGAGTGCCCCCCCAGTCCCTGTACCCCAGTCACCCCACACCCAACAGATTCAAGACCCAACCCCAGTGTGTGGTCACCAGTGCAGCTGGGGCGGGAGGACTTCCTGCAGGAGAGGCATTAAACCCTCACCCAGGCCCTAGCTGGGTACAAAGGCGTAGGGCAGCCGGTGCTGCCATCCGCCTTGGACATGGACGCTGCCTGCCCCTGGCCGTGAACTGGCCCCTGGGGCGCACAGGAGGGGCTTGGGAAGGTGGAAGGTACGCCGTGGCGGCGAGGGCTGCTGCTACCGCTCGCTGTCCTGGCTGCTGTCGG